TGCATTGATTTTAAGATTTTATTTGATGAACAAATATGCCCCAGGTACGTCTTAACCAAACTGGCCGTTTTCCTTCGAAGCTACGGTTTCATTGCAACCAGTCGCCCTCAGTGTTGTTAACATTTATTGTATGGTTTTTGTACTGAGTAAGCTTTACCTAATACTGGTCATTTCGTCCAATATGACAGTGCGACCTGCACTTCACGTCTACGGGTACTCCCGACCTACTGCACGGCCTACAGCCAAGTCCTAAGGACCCTGTGCGTCCGTTCAGCCCACTTGCTAGTCCCACCAACCCCAATGCAAGTATGTGAAAGATTGCTGACGTTTCAGAATTCAGTACTGGTGGATAATTGGTGAAAGATCTTGTCTTGGGTTTGCTCAGATTGTGAAAATCTTGTTGAGACGACGAAGTTACTTTATGACACGTAGATCTTGATCTAAGAAAGGTTGGTCTTCTGGGAAAATAAAGCAAGTTTAAATCTCAAAGTCTATTACATCCTTTGTTGAAAAAAGCACCATTTTTGTCTTTCGCAGCTCGTGCAGCTTTGAATGGTGTTCATGTTATAAGTGGCTTTACGTCTCTTCAACATTATGGTCATCATTAATGTGTTAACGACAACTACGAAAGCTGAAATTTCTGACCTTTAAACTGGGCCTCAATTTTACGTATAATGGTCTTCGACTTGATTCAAATTTCAAATTTGAAATGATGAATAACTGAGTTAGGTCCACATCTTGGTATTACATGCATGTCTGAGTAATGTTACAGTAGTAAGATCATGTACGCCAGGTTCTGTCAAACTTGATTTCCATGTATATTTTCGCTGTCACAGTTGCTCCCCTGATGGGTTCCCCCACCCGCATCTTCAAGATCCCACTGATAAGTCTAGTTGGACAGATGACAGAGCGGGCCGTCCCACCGACCAACAATCGGCCACGATCCTTCATTTCCCCTTTGGTCAACATCGCCGAAACATCCCCGGGCGGCGCCAGCAAAACCAATGCATCCGGACTCACAACCCGACCTCAGAGCGACACAGCGCTCTCGCAGTACGAGAAGAATCTGGCCAACGACAGCGGCAACGCGGAGGGCCTGACGCCGTGGCGGAACACCTACCAGCTGCCTCGCCCCTCGGCTGAGTACTCAGACTCCGGGTACTCGGAATCTGACGTGTCCTTCGAGTCCACAGAGTGCACTGACGTGCCCCGCGGCTACCCCTACGACCCGCAACGTGCGGGCCAGGACTCGTCAGCCGAGATGAGACGGAAGATGTTCAGTTGTCTGCATTCTCCACGGCAGCACCGACGGACCGTGTCATCACAAAGCGCTGACCCGGAGGCACGAGCCGAACTCCTGGGCACCTCCAAGTCCAAACCCGGTACGCGGTCTCGGTTCGGTTCGAATCACTCGGATTCGGTGTTCTACAGTAACTCGCGAATGGACAGTAGATCGAGCTCGGTAGCCTCCGAGTCTGATTCCTCTCGATCGGACACCACCGTACAATCCTGGCCCCGCTCCCCCCGGTTCAGTAGCAGCGGCTCCACCGCGTCGCAGTCTGAGGCGGAGATGAGAGCGGAACTCCTCGGGAAACTCCTGCGGTCTCCGAAGCTTGGTCGCCCCTCCACTTCATCAACCATGTCCACTCAATCAGACTCCGAAGACCGAGGCTCAGTCTTCGAAAGTACCAGTCCGGTCAGAGACAAAACCAGCCTTCCTTTCTATCTTTCCTCATCAGTCGACGAAGAAGACATTGATTTAAAGTAAAGATTGTCCAGGGAAAACCACGAGGATACTGAAGACCGACTACATCGATTCCAGAGTTATTTTTGTATTAAAAGTTGTAATGCATTCCAGTGCGCATATTGTAGCTCCTTAAATTTTCCCATTTTCTCCCTTAAAAAATGAATTCAATTTTACTTCTTTTGGATTTTTTGACAATTTGAATTCTACGCATGTACAGTACAAGAAAAAATGCCCAGGCAAAACCTCGAATCCGAAATGGAAACTTCGCGGTTTTATTTTTCAATTAATTTGGGAAACGATATTCTTTTGAGAGGCAAACGTTTCGTTCCGGGGTTAGTCGACGACGCAGATGCATTTAGCTTTGTTTCATGTTTGCGTATTGCTCTATACTGAAACAAAACGTCGTGCTGTGTGCTTTCCGAAACTGTGAGAATTTAGGACGAGATCGGCTTGACAGTTGCTCACAGAGGACGAAATCGCGCACGTGTCGTAAACATGCCGCCAGCTAGCTCCGGATTTCACCAAATTCGCAGTGAAAACTGCAACAAGTTTGCTCTGTAGGCGGCGATATTGAAGGGTACCCTTGGTCGTTTCTCCGGTATATATGTTTCTGACGTCATGGAGTGCTGAAGAGCGCGTTGCGTTGTTCCACTTTGAACTGGCGTGAGGCCACTGATGTTTTGCGCAAGTAATGTATGGATCTTTGGCTGAAATGAAGTCAACCGTAGTTGAGTATAACTCAGTTTTGTTTTCGTTCTCTAAGCTGCAAAACAGAAATACTTGCGAAGTGTTCTAACTACTTTTAAGTTTATGTGAATATTTTTACTTCAAAAATGAATTGTTGAGTTTTATGAGGAGGTTCGTTCGTCCTGATTATTGTGGACTACTGCTGCCCTGCTTGGCAATGACGTCATACATGACTGTATATGGGCCCAGAGCTGAAGTGGAAATAATTTTTGATGACGTCATTGTTGAACTATTTGGCAGGATCGAATGCAGTAGATCATTGGACGAACAACTGGAATCTGTAGAGTTCATATCGCCGCTTTTAAGCCAGAATACCTCATATCATTTTATGGTTGTCTATGTTAATTTCTCAACCTCGTTAGCTTTGTTTTGGACTTGTTACATTTCGGCTGGCCTTGCAAAAGTGACGCCGACGATAATGTGCTGTTATAACTTAAGTACCTTTCCATTTATAGCTTACAGACTCGTTTTATAAAATATTATAAATTTCAAATGATTAATTGACTCGGCTGTAAGATATCTAACATTTTTCACTTTCATCTTGCCATCGTAAATTATGTGTTTATCAACTATTACCGAACGCAACTGTAAATATGGTTTACAGTTGACCATCAAAAAAAATGTGGTATACTTACTGACGGACCTACCGATTTGATTACATTATTTAAATATTTTGATTTTTATACGAAGTACGTGTAAACTAATTGCTGTCAAGTGTTTGGTACATCATAAAATTATGGCTTTCTGTGGTGACAGTTGTCTCTGTCTAATTTGAAGATATTCGGATATCACACTTGAGAATCGATATTTATTATTTATCGTAACTACCGAAAGTAGAAAATGCCGACTTTGGAAAAACCAAGCGGTGCGCGTGGTTTGTTTGTATGAGGAAGTCGTTTGAATCCCCCGCTGCATAAGGGCGTTCTTTTGATTTCTTCAAATCAAAGAACCAAGATGGATTTCACTCTTATTTTCAAGACATAGCACAGCCAGGTCTCAAAGGATGCTTAAACTCATTGATGTATTTGAGACCTAGCTGGGTTTTTTATGATATTCTTGCGTGGCTGTGTGTGTTTAACTTGATGAGCTTTACCGAAACGAGCTTTTATTAATTGCGATGCGTTACGAAAATCGTTCTTGGGAAAAAATATGGAAGTTCGTTTAAGAAACGTGTGAGCACACAAACTTAGGGTATACTCGATTTATGAAAGAGAAAGGGTGTTAGCCGACTCGGCTAAGTTAACAAGCTGGTTTATTTTTGTATCTTAAGCAAGGTATATATGTTAAACAGCTTCAAGTTTGAGAAATATTACAGGGAAAAAGTCGACATTTCTCATTTTGGTATCAAGTCGGGTCGTAAACTTATAGAAACGCGGCATAATGGGGAAAGCGCAGCGAGTTGTCAGTTGGTGGTTGTCTGACATTTAAGCTTTACTCTTTTCTCCGGAAACTCAAAGGTTTTATACTTGTGTAATTTTATGTATATCACAAAAGACATTAATGGTGGTAAGTTCAAGTCTGGAAAAAATCAATTATTATTTATTCTACCTTGTGCAGAGTGAAACTGATTAATGCCTTTATCTTTTGCAATAAAACATAAATGCACCTTAATTTATTTGAAAGCTCAGTGGAAATTATTTTACGTAGTGTTTGTAATTTGTCTCGGCGCGATATCGTAACTAGTTTTTAGGTTTCAAAGTAAAGGCCTATCGCCCAATCTCGCGGGTACTCCGCTGTCGGTGTCTCTCACAGCAAACTACTCAGTGTTCCCATTTCGCGCACTGTGATTGGTCAACGCGTTGCAAACTCTTGGAGGCGCACTTTCAACGCTTTTTGCAAACGAATCCCAAGAAGAAAATCGTATATGATAGGGGATAACACGGTGTTGTTTATGTTAATGTTTTGTTAATGTCTGTATGCTTAAAAGATGTGATTAAGTGAATCTGAATAGAACAAACCCGAGTTACATATGTCAAAAACGACTCTGCTATTGTTATGACTCGGGTGACCTTACAGGCTTCGAATCCTCCAAATCGATTAAATATGTACCTCCAGAGGAATACAATTTTTTATCAAGTTTTTCAACTGCTTTAAAAAGTCACGGTCCTCAAAATGCCGTAGGCTTGTCGCTTCCATGTTAGAGTAGGACGCACTGTCGTTTCCGTTTCAGTAGAGTTCCTGTCTGCCTGTTAATAGTGCTTTAAAGTTATAGGGATGCGTGCCAATTAATGAGTTCTTCTACCTCCTCACCCTATTCTAAGAATGACGGTGGGAGAAAGTTAACTCAGTTTTGGGGAAACCCACGGGCAAAACGGGGATCGGAATTTGATAATTAAGGCAATGTTTACACGTTCGGGAGTCCAGGCTGGGGGCCTTATGCCACACATATTGCAGGGTCGATGTGGTTTTCCTACACTCCAATGCAAGGCGCTTCCATGATTATTTGTTCCCATTCTTTATTTTGAGCTCATTTTAACTTTGTAAGACCCACCCCAAACGGCAACTGCAGATCCCACACTAAGGACGTCGTGTAACCAGGTCGAGCGTTCGCCCTACTCTCACCTGACGCTGGTTCCTTTTCTTGGTTTAGTTGATTTCATTCCTTTCAACTACACCGTGTATTGTACTTTGGCGGAACGTGTGCTGTACGCGGCCGGCCAGGCATTAACAATTCTGGCTAGCGCCCTCTTGCGGCCTAACACTCTTTGTTCTCACTGTCCAACAAGAAAACTCTGAAAATACCCCAAAGAATGTCCGGTATGTGAAAAGAACAAAAGCTAGGACTTATATTCTAATTCCGCGCGTAAAATCCGGGGTGGAGCGAAAATGCTCGAGTTGTTACTTTTGATCCAACTTCGGCCAAAGGTAACACTTTTTTTGCCAGCCTCTGCTGATAAACATTACGTTTCTGCCCGGCAGCCTGCAGCTTACGGGAGTTATGAACAAGCAGTCCAAATGGTGAGTTGCAATTAGTATGCACATACTTGCAGATGTTGCAGTACACTTTGACTGGTAAACGATGTTTTCATGCTGTACCAGTACGCAATTTTGTAGGACCTGCTTTTCATTCAATCATGTTACTTGTAATTACTTGTTTGAACTTGAAGAATTATCTCACGGGAATGGATGATTGTTTGTACAATAACCTTATAATTTTAATGTCCATAATTCGAAATTCGTTTCACACGTGACATGAGGTGAAGTTAATCCTTGTTGGCTCTATAGCGAGCTTTAATGTTGCAAGAAACACCCAAGCAAAATCCTGATCTATTAAAACTACAATTATTAAACAAAGGGGGAAATGAAGAAACCTTCATAATATTTACCTTGGCTAGTCTTTTTAATTGTACGGACTTTCAAGAGTTGGTAATTCCAGACCTATGAATTTCTGAGCTGTTTTCCCCTGGCCACTCCATTTCCTTGTTGATTTTTGTGAGTTTACAAAACAAATTAACTTAAGTAAAAGTAACAGTCGAATAACTCTTATAAGAGAACCAGTTATTGTCGATGGTAAAATATTATTTGTAGATAATGTTTTATATTTGTAATCAAATTGTAAATAATATTCTTTTTATGAATACATGGACCATTCCCAGGGAATCGCTGTCCTGGAACAAATAACTTTAAACTCGTAATAAGGAAACAATATTTCATGTAATTTACTGGCTATTTATTTTCTTCATCTTTCAGACAATTCTTCATCATCCCTGTCGACTGTTGGTTTGTTTTTTAATTATACCATTGATACACCCGAATGAAATTTGTACATTTGAACTAGGTGTTTCCCCCATCCTTTCTGAGTGGATCCATTCGGTAACAGACGTACAGCCCGCGAGTCATATCCATAAACCTGCAGCCTCTCGTACTTGGAAATTTTGTTACGTGCAAGTTCATTTTAGGGCATTTGGCGCTCCATAGGTCTGAAATCCAGACGTATACAGTAAAAGCGGCATTGGTAAATATAACTGGGATCAGTTCTTTGACTTCTTTCGTCGTGAGTATAGTATCGAACACGTGTGTTGTGCTATTGCCTTGGTAAGAAATTTCTGTTAATTCGTTGCTTTCTATTTAGAACCTAATTGTTTAAAAGATATTCCTTTATTTTGAAGGCCGTTTAATGTGTAGTGAATTTCTGAAAACTATGTCAGATATTTTGGGGTGAATTATTTCCGAAAACCGCTCCAAGAAGTTATATTTCTTTTCTGCCCATTTTTCGGACATGAAGCATATTGGTACTAATGAACTCTGTCATGTCTGTCAAGTCTGTACACACTGTGCTACATGTAGCCCTACGTTGTACATCATGTATTTACTTCAAGTATATAGGTCTAGAGGTGCATTTATTCATCTATTACACCCTATCCCATTATACATTGTAGTATCTTCCAAAAGTGTGTGCCCAGCTGAGTAGCTCCCACCCTGTCATAAAGTGAAGGGGCCAATGGTCCCCCTGGCTTTTGCCACAAATGCTGTACACTGATGTAAAGGAGTCCAGTCCGTGTTTGAAGGCACTGATAAAATAAAGTTGGCATTTACAACAGGAAAAACTACTGCATGTGTCGACTACAAGTTGGCTAAAATTATTGACTCTTATTATACAATGTAAATGATTTGCACAGCCCTTGGTTTTACACAGTGCCGTCTTGTTCTAGATTCAGTAGACGTGTTGAGGAAGCTATGCTCACTTCCTTTAAATTACTTATTTATAATCTTAAATCTCAATTAGACCCCTACATCCTTCTGTGTTCCCGTCTTGTAAGTCCAAATATCAAAGTTCTTTAGAATATGGAAGAGTACTGGTCGGTACTCAATCATGTTAATTACAATTGTACATGTAGCATGTGCACTTGCCTTTTCTTTGCACTTTTTCCAGGATATCGATATCCTTCCTCAAATAGGGATTCCAAACGTGTGCATTGTACTCCCCGTGTGGCCTAAAAGATGTCTTGTAAATGATGCCCAGGGATAATGTAGCTAAATGAACGTTAGATGAATTAGCCTCAAAGACTTCATTGCTTTTTTGTGTTGTAGTAGCACACTGATTACCCTGTTTGCAGTCACCTGTTTAAGAGACTTTTGGATTCTTCTCATTACTCAGCTGTAAATTCTCCCTGTCCATACCGTAGATGTCCATACATGTATACATTTAGTTACCATTTTAAGTACACTGTAATGGCATGATCGTTGGCAGTTTTATTTTTTCTCTGTATACATGTATCATGTTGTGAAAACTACTACAGGTCCACATGCAAGACGAGGCAGAAAGAAGTACAACTCAGCATCATGGGTGGCCCCTCAAATAAAATCAACAAACCCAAAGTAAGTGCGTGTTAGTTTGAGTTGAAGTTTTGCATAGCAGGGGCATTAGTAAACTTATGAAGGGTTCAAGATTGCATTGTATCTGTTGTCTCATAACAACCTACGACTACAGGCTCAGGCATCAGATTTCTTCACTCAAAGCCTTCCACCAGGGTGTCAGTCGCTTCACCCCATTTCCACTTCGCCCCATTGATTATCATTCATTCTGTTCTTTAGTAACAGAGGCACAGGCCTAAATGCAACAAGTAAACGCATCGACGTTTGAGTACCCAAATAACGGTCAGAGAATCTAACTTTCAGAGGCCAAAACAGTGCTTCCGATTTCCTGATCGCCGGACCCAAATTTTTTGGCGAGATCCTAAAATTTTTATTGGCAAGTTAGAAAAATAAGTTTTCTTCGTGTTTCGTTGTTGTCGCTGTGGTAAAAACATGTGAGCAAAGCGCTGGTTCCCGCCGTGCCACACCCATGTAAGAGAATGTGTGATGGAGTGTGGCAACCAGTCTATTCATGCCGTGGCGACTGTACATGTACTTGATGAGAAATATACCCGATGTTAGTCCAACCATATGTATTAATTCACCATAATAAACAATGCAGTCAACATTAATTTAATGCCGTAGAGTTTTCTACAATAACTACATGTCAATTGTAGAACTCCCCTCTCTACCATTTTTTGAAGAGGCTTGTAACACACTTGAGCACGGACACAAAGTGGGGATGGGGCGATGTGGAGATGGGGCGAAGTGGTTTGGGGCTATGTGGAAATGGGGCGAAGTGGTTTGGGGCTATGTGGAAATGGGCGAAGCGACTGTAAACCTTCCACCACAACTGACCTTCTGACTACATGTATATAGAAGGACCCCCCTTAAGCTAGAAGACAGCATATTAATCATGTGCTCCAAAGGTGCGGTGATTTATGACTCCTTGAGACCAACACAAGACCAGTCTGAATTCAAGTCTCAAATGATCTACAACAAAAGCATTTCTTTGTTATCGCTCATCCTGTCAGACTGGTCTTGTGAGATCGGTCTTGTGAAGGTCTTAACTACAACACAGCAAATGTCTTTACAGTAATTTGAGACCACACTGGTAGAAGCTTCCAGTTCCCTCAATCATTAGGGGTGAGATACATGATAAATATTGACACACTTTTGGAAACGAGACAGAACACAAATGTATTGTAAACCCCACTGGCAGTTTATTCTTGATACTGGCAAAAATGGTAGGACTCGGGAAGTAAAAACAGAAGCACACTCCATAACTTTTCCCTGGTCTGTTTCACCGAATTTCAATTCAAGATCAGTACATTTAAAAATTTCAAATTTTTCGAACTTTTCAACTTATTTCAAGTATATTCGTTCAATATAACTAATAATTTAACTCTGTCTAATACTTTGAAACATCTTTAAAGTTGGCTATAACAATAAAGCGTCTATTTTAATATCATCTCAGATTACTTCAATTTATAAAATTTTTCCAATGCATTCCAAACAAAGCATATACAAACAAGTACACCATCTTCAATGTACCTAGAAAGAAAACACCTTTACATATACCTTCATTAGTAAAACAATCAATTTTAATAGCATCTCAGGTTACTTCAATTTATAACATTTTCCACAATGCATTCAAACAAAAAAATCAACTGGGAAAGTACACAGTGTATGGCGTCTAACCTGAAAGTATCTCGACCCAAAACCTGACAGCAAATTATCCTTGATGGGACAGCTGCCTTGTTTTTTTCTAATCCAACACTGAATTTTAAACACAGTCGGAGCTGAGGAATTAGTACACTGATCATTCTATAAATTTTGGGGGTCCAATTTTTTCATGCCCTTGTTACGTCTTGTATAAAGTTTAAAACGTAATTTTCAAGAGTGATGAAAAACTACAAATTTCCTGCCAAACAGAAATAGTCTGAAATCAATTTTTAACCCTAACACTACTCAGTCCTCCAACAGGTGAAGGATTGAGGAGTGTTAGGGTTAATGAAATACTGTGTCAAATTACACAGGTCAGATGTAACAGGGACAGAAAACATTGCACTTTGGACCCCATATTTCTAGAATGATCCATATTTGTATAAGTCCATTTCTGAGACTAGCAAGGCAAACTTGGGTTAAGTCTTTACAAGTGCAACAATGGAAATTATTTGCTGAGAGCCGGGATCATGTCTCATGCACTCCAGATGTCATGTGTTCAGATGTAGTAGAATCCTGTGTTTGTGCATATACATTTAGTTCACACATACGTGTACTACATGAAATTGCATTATACTTGCTTGCATTCACATGTACATGTACATCTACAATGTGTTCACCATCACCAGTGTTCAACCAGTACAAATTCATCCAAACTTTTTAGCTGTTCAAGACTAAAGGTGGTCATACAAAACAATTGTAAAGGCATCTCTTTAACACAATGCAAAACTATATACATATGGTACGAACCAGTGTGCTATTAAAAAAATAAAATTCTCTGATGAACGTTAAAACAAATCTGAACAGAGTGCACGAATAGTTTTAAATTTCACCTCCAAGCATTGGTATTTTTGAAGTTCCTAATTCCAGTGCCAACCACGTACATTGTACAAGTGACCATTGCACATAAAAAAAAGATCAAACAATAAAATTTCGATAAGTTAACTTGTACATCGCTTACGAAGACACCACTCTCTGTTCCCGCAGAAAACTTTTTTTTTTAAAGTCTGTAATGTAATGAAATATAAACAGTACCAATATATTGACCATTAAACCAAATGCTTCATAATTATAACAAAACAAAGTTTGTAGTGTATATTGCAATGGAACAGGGACAGTGTAAATATATTTTCCATTAAAATACTTCATTTGAAACCAAAAGGTGAACTTGAGTGCATGGTTTTATGTGAAGGCTCAACTAGGTCGTTAGTGTCACTCCAGTTAAGAAGTCCGGCTTCCACTTAGTACTGACATGTGGTAGTATACATGTACATGTACTAACTTGAACAATTGTCTATCCGGACTGTAACTAAATCCACCCTATAATAGCAGGCAAAATAAACATGTACTATGTCTATTATTTGAAATAGGAAGGTTGTTGTATGTTGTACATGCGGTGTCAGCATTTAACATTTGTGGCCTGAAAGTTCAGATTATCTTTGGCAAGCACCACCCAATCATGTTTTTTTCTCCGTTTTTGTGTTCTTCTTTATTGTCTTTTTTTAACACACCCATTCCAAACCTTGCACGTTTCTTGGCACTGCGTAGTTCTCAACAAAATTAACTTACCCACCAAGGTATGTCAAATGCAAAAATAAAGTATGTGTATACATGTACATGTATCTTTAAATTTGTAATCTTATCTCAAAAATATCAAAATGCATCCAACGTTTCCCTATTTTCCAAACTGCTTTGGTATACGAGTTTGACCTTTAAAGCTTTGGGCAAACAATCATTTTAACAAACATTTGAAAAAATTAATCACAAAAAAATGAATTGTGTACAGATACTTACCTGTACTTCATCGGGTGTGTGCCAAAGCATACCTGAAATTGGAGGATTTTGGACCGCTACGGTTTATGATGAAAGTTTTACCCGAGATTAATTCATTCCACACGTCTTATCAGTTTTTCACTTTGCCTTTAATACTGTTGTTCTATTGCTTTATTGATTCAAGTAACGGTCTTCTAAACTTTTCTGTGTTGCACCTATTATTCTGCATATATTTTAAGGTAATGAATCTATCAGTACCATGTCATTTTGCATTTACTCTCACCCCATCAAGCTTTCTTTTGGTAAAATGTAATCCTGAATTATACATACATAATCCAACAACAGCAGTGCCTGGAGCCTGCTGGATTACATCAGCAATGTGTGCCCTGAATCCAACAGAATCTACTGACAGCAAAGTGTGGTGCCTTGTGAATTCAACAGAATCCAACAACAGCAGTGCCTGGAGCCTGCTGGATTACATCAGCAATGTGTGCTCTCTATTCAACAGAATCTACTGACAGCAAAGTGTGGTGCCTTGTGTATTCAACAAAATCCAACAAAAGCAAGGTGTGTACTTAAATCCAAGGGAGGAGACAGGTAGTGAAGATGCAGGGAAAACACAAGAGCATTGGATAATGAGTTACCACAGCTTAGTTGTCTCTGCTCAAGGCTGAAGTCTCAATGAACGTCTTGATCATCATGTCCCGTATTTTTTCAGTGAAATCTGGAACATCATCCAGTGTCATACCGACAGTGGGTACTGGCTTGAGGACGGTCATCTTGTAAGCACCTGGAAGGAAAGAGAAAATGGACAGTTACGATTTGTGTTAATTCAGCAGTTCTCAAGGTCCAGGTTGGCCTCTGACCTCTGCATGGATGGAAGGCCCTTACTGTACTGACTAAAAAGAACACTCCTGTGTCATGCTATACCTGACCATGACTTGATGTTTCTGTATTCATGTACACGATTGCGTATTTACCCTATATCAAGAGACAATTTACACAACAGCACAGTTATTATTAGTTATCACATGAGCGCAAGTCAAACGTGCGCCCATGTCCCAAATCAGTATGTGGGACATAGACACACTACATTATTCTGTGTTCCACAAGTGTGAGTAACGAATATGATAACGAATCTTCAAGCAAACTTGACGTGCAGTAAAGATGTTACAAGGGCAACGCTTTAAATAGCGCCTCAATCAGTCGCAAATGCGACCAAATTTTTTCTAATGCGGTCATATTTTCACCATGCAGTTGCCATTTGCGACTTAAAATAGCTTTAAACACCACATTCAAAATATACTTGAACAATTTTGAGTATGCTTAAAAATCCAAAAAGCAATTATTATGTACTCAAAATTCGTTCCGGAAAAGTAGAAATGGCAACGTAAATCACATTGTGAATTTAAAGCTTACCGTGTAACACGGTTAGATGTCACACTGTTTGTTGCCATGGATCAATCAATCAGAATTGAGAATTCGAGTTTGCCTGAAGATTAAGTCTTTTTGCACCTTCGAAGACTACATGTAAACATGTGTCTTTACTTTGACATGAACTACCGTATCAGTGTTGAAAGAAATACACCCACCTGATGTGAAGCGTTTATGCCTGAAACTGAAGAATGATTCTTGGCAGGAAAATACAACGGGAACAATGGGAACCTGTGACAGAAACGAAAATGTACAGCAACTGAATTTGATAAATTTGCATTCAACAAGTGCATTTATAGAAAATAGAAGAACAGGCGGTCCAGCTAAGCTGAAAGCCATCAACTACTCCTATGTGTATATTAAAATGAGAAAAATGGGCAGATGAGGTAAGCCTGTATTCTAAGTCCACCAACTGTGCTTGAACTAGCACATGCACTATGTATCTGTATGAAAAGTGACCACAGCCAGTGGTTTCTGTCAATGCTGGTGCACCTGTTGCATTCAGACTAAACTACAACTTTGAGACAATCTGATTTCCCTGATTTTGAATTGTACACAGTTTCCTTGTTCAGCCTGGCACTCACCTGTGCCTGGACCGCAAGATTGAAGGCACCCTTCTTGAAAGGAAGAAAATACTCCGGTTTCTTTTCTTCTGCTGGACGGTTCTTCTTGGACAGCTTTCTGGTCCCTTCAGGAAACACCCAAACCTTGGCCTGCCATATTGACGAAATATGAGTCATTTTTAACAGTCTGTTTACAGTCTGTTTTTAGTTTTAGACTTTACACCTTTGAGGCCAGTTCATACTTGGTATCACATCAGAGCAAATACTTGTGCTGTAAAGTTACAAAAAATTCAACTGGAGCGAAGTTTGCAGCAAATGATTTGTGACGTCAAGCTGGCTCCTGCATCCACCCGAAGTGTGAATCAGGCTTTACTCTTGAATACAAAAGAGGTTTCACACTCTGTCATACTGAGGCAGGCACATACAGGTAAATGTACAGTACATCGTATCTGAGAATCTCTACAGGGTTGAAGATGCCCAAGGAGATCCCGAGTCTAGCCCAGTAAATCTGAGGTACATACATGTGTCCGCTCCAAGCAGAACAAAAGAGGGGGTTTTTTTGGTGCTCACCGCATAGGCGCGCAATGAAGGGCGAGTGTGAGTGTATATGTGCGTTTGACGCCGAGTACGCATAACTAAATGTTATTCCAGCATGTATGGTCTTTGCATACATGCACAACGCATGCAAGAACCCGCTTGTAACCACCTGTGTTTCTTTTTGCCGATTGGGGGTGCACTTCAGCTCGGGAAGGATACCTCTGTTGTCTCGTACACAGAACGATCAGTCATAATTCTTTCATCATGATTTTTCTGTTCAGTCCCAAACTTTACCATGCAGTTCTTAATCCTCATCATCATGTTGATTACTTCAACTCACATTTTTCTCCTTGATGACTTTAACAGTGTTCTCCAGGGCTTCTTTGGCCTTCTCACGATTGGTCCGACAGACAAATATGATGCCACTCAACATGGCCGCTATACCCATCGGTCCCAAGTACTTGACCGAGTTCTTCATCATGATGGAGCAACGATTTGGCCAGAACTCCATCATTGCTGAAAAGTCGATGTAGAAATTCTGACATGTTGGAAGACATCGTTACACTTGAGTTCGAACACCTAAGTAGGGGAGTGTTACCAAGCGTTAAGGCTCTTGACTCATGGTCAAAGGGGCCAGGGTTCCAATCCTGCTGCTGGCCATACTGTCTGGGCTTTGGTATACCATTTCATATGACGTATGAAATGGTAGGACATATATAAATGCGTTCTGACATTGGCAGTGGGGACAACCTGCAATGGACTTGCATTCCATCCAGGAAAAATAAAAATATTCATTGGTTTTCCAGCCAGATTGCGATGTTGTACATTGACTGGGGCAGATTTTTTTATTTTGCATCTAGGTGCTTGGGTCCATTTTCTTCCAGAATGTTGACGTTGTAGTCCAAGGATATTTCAAGAATGTCTCATCTACTCACCAATATGATCAATAGTACTCTGGTGGTTGCATACAGCAATGTAAGGCTTGTCCGACTTAAGGTGCTCCAGACCTGTGGCACTGACTTTGATACCAAACAAATGCTTGACAGTGAGACGGGTGAAGAGTGCAGGCCATCTAGTGGAACAAGAACAAAACGTCAGTCACTGAGAGCTTGAACGGGTCTACCAAAGTGTGGTGAAATGATGGCTGGGGATTTAGGACCATGACTGTGACCGGTACATGTAAATCCTTACATCAACTAAAAGGGGCAAGTACCCAAATCAAATCAAGCTCAAAAAACGCTCCCAGTTAGTGATTGCTTGTAGACATGTACCTCCAAGACTGGAATGCTGTAGGCAAGTATCCATGCAGTCTTGGTTTAAAAAGTCCAGATGTTTGGTCAGAAATTAGACTGGTATTGGGATGGTTTATTGTAAAATATGTTACAATAATAATACATTTGTGACAAAAGCACCTATATTTCTTACACAAGAACCAAGCATATTGTACCTGACGTTGTCGACATCCCCTGGCTTCAGCAGCATGAACGGAATGCTGACAAGTCCAATGGCAGGATAGCACAGATTGTAGAGATAGTACTTGGTCCGGAACCGGACTGTCCGGCTCGTCAGTAAGAGAACCAGGTACAGCAGGGCACCGGTGATCAAGACTGTCCCCACAAAATCCATGGGAGATGACGGAGTGATGGACTCGCTGTCCGAGTCCATCGTGGTGACTGGTCTCAAAACTTTCTAGGAAAGGAGAGAAAGGGGAGATCAACTGAACATCAATTGAATGATATCACTAATGTCATTTGACACCTGTCGAACAGTTTTGAAAACAGTATCTCTCCATCCAGTTTCGTAGTCACGTACACCAAACTGTCCTTCCACAAGACCAGTTAACAGGACGAACAACAAATGAACTTACATTCAACAGTTGGTGATGTGGCTTAAGACTGCATGACTTGTAATGGACTCCCAGAGACCTTTACCCCTAACTGTCCCAAATCCTCCAATTTCAATATAATTTTACATACACCCTAAGGAGACTGGGAAAAGCTGTTCCCAACTTGAATGTATACAGTATGCACATCTACAGTGTACATAGCCAATTGGCCATGTTGTACACTCCTTCAATTTTTTGTTTCATTTATAAATGGACAGCCACGACACCAGCTTCAGTCCCCTCCCCCCCTTTTTTTTAAGTGGGGGAGAATGTTGAACCGCCTTCCCCCACAACACCAGTAGTACATGTACATACATCAGGCACACAGTGTCTTTGGTAACTGTTCCAAATGAACATAGATGTAGATGTAGGAAACTGCAGGGAAAGACTGCAGAGAAGACTAGGCTGTAATACAAAGATAATAGATGTACATGTATGTATTAGAAATCTCTGGTGAAACTATTCACAAAATTGTTTGCATGCTGCCGCTGATGCCCATTCTTGACCTTTAGCCCCCTTACAAGGGGTTTTCAATCAGAACGATTACAAACAGAAAGCTTGTGTTCATTGATAAATGGATTATATGGGGAGGTAAGTGTTTGAGTAATTAACTCTGTCAGTTGCAAGTGCCATATCAAAATATAAGTGATACAAAGGCTGAATTAAATCTTGTGTTCATTTGTATTTGCCTGTCGATAGTGAGACAGCAAAGAGGTGGTAGTGATTTGTTATTTAAGTTGATCGTGTGAAATGAACATACTCGGTAAACAGAAAAAATGGCCCTGGTTTCAGACTTGGAAGTGGTCTGTACATTGTGGTTAACACAAGACCTTTCTTTAATGAAGTTTGTCAGTCTAGAATGTCATTGTCCAAATGGAGAAAAAGGGTTTTGGTTTGTTTACTGTTTGGGTTTTTTTGGGGGGGGGGACGAAGTCGTTTTGCTCAAATGATGATGACCAGACTTTATGAAATCCCTCAAGATTTCAAAAACAGTCATGACTGTTGAAAAACATAGCATTGTGCGTGCCACCAATTCTCCCCTTGGGTACAGAGTTCCACATATACACTACTAATGTTCCCTTGCAATGGTTTACTAGTTTTCATGTCCTAAAACATTACAAAATAGTAAAAACTTATTTTTGGCAGTGAAAACACTGAAGCATTTACTTACCTGTATAGTAATAGGGTACAGGTTTTGTACACAGGGTGTATGGAACTCTTTCCCAACTTAACCCAAGGAAACACCTCCCATAACCATCTGAATTCATTACAGAATAGGTCTAAACTGCATCGGGAATTTGGTTAACAACCGCCTCCATAGTGTCATGAATATTCATGTTTGAGTACCAGTCCAGTTCCGTTATAAGAGAATGTTACCAACATCACGCAAGGACGAGTGAAGAACTCCCACTCAATCTCGTCCCCTTCAATTTTGATCATTACCCACATCATGCACGTTCGATGAAATGGCCAGGATGCTAACCATGCTAACGTTAACTGGTCAATGCCGCTGCTGGTTTTATTTATTCATCAAATGCGATCCATCCTGAGTCTAGTGTCAGACCTTCAACTTGTTTGTCACGTTTGTACACCGAGCATGCAGCGTTGTAAGAACCAGAACTTCAGAAAATGATTTCGAAGGCCCTACCTCTACTTCACTACTCTCCTGTGATTTCTCCCTTCAAGCATTCATCGCCTTTAGTTCGTGCCCAGCGCAGAACGAATACATAGCACAGGCTCAAATCCAGGGCTTATTAACAAGTGTAGTATATAAAAAAATGAAGAAATAATTCCGACTGTTAAGTGCCGGTCACAACATGGACGTCGCGTCCGTGATCTGACAAGATGACAACAGCAATGCACATTATGTCACTGTGAAGGTCAGAAGTGCAGAGGTGAACCGTTGTGCTCGAAAGTATGGAGTGCCTAGAGTTAATTTATAAGTACCCGTGACAGCCAGACGTGTAAATAAATAGGTTTTCCTTTAAGCTATTTTTTATGGTTCAGTCAAAAATTAAACACTTACTGCGCTCACAGAAAAGACGTCTTAGGTTCGACTCCTGGCTGAGCACAAGGAACAATTTTTCTCGCATGTTTTTGTAAACATTGAGTAGGCCATGCATAATCATAACAGAACGCAGGAAAAAGTCTATTTCCCTTTTAACAAACTTATCATTCTTATCTTTGCTGTGCAGAAACCAGGTTTCCGGATAATCCAGAGACAAAAACGAAACCAGGTCAAAGCCAACCCGCCCACGAGCAAGAAGACTTTCTCAGGAGGCATGTCCAAATGGCGACCGTCGAAAGGCGTCACTAAGAAAAGAAAGTATGAAAGTGGTATTGTGATCATGTTTGTCTAAGATTGTAAGCACGATTGCACGAAGTTCAGAGACATTTTGCAGTTGACGTTTCGTTAAATAAACCGTGCATACACATGCTGAACATCGTTATTTGTTTGGTTTTTTTTTAAACTGATAAAAATGGAAGCTTGTGTGCGCTGTGATTTCATTTTATGTCTACCAATCATTCAAAGGATCAACGTCAGTACCAACTCTAGCCCGTCAGGAAAGAAGCTCAGGAAACTACTGAGAGCGAGGCTGAGAAGTGAAAAGGAGGCTAGTGCCATGCAAGGTACACCTTATACGAAAAATTGATTAAGATCAAGTTTTGATATCCCCAATTTTAGACGAAACAAACGTCAACTACATTGCAACAAAATAAGAATTATACTCTGATGTCCTTTCCATAAACCATTGCTTTTCTGTCTTTTTTTTTTCTTTCCAGTTGAACTGACGTCATTGCCACGAAAACAAAGCAACAAGAGTGACAAATCAAAGGCCAAGAACCCTTCAACGCAAGCAAAAGACAATAAAGGCGAGGGAGACATAGAAATGCAAGAAGTCTGATGGGATTATGAAATGACCGATTAGATCGCATTCACAGCTGTTTCCGCAATTTGTGAACAAAATAAAATTCACGACCAAAAAGCAAAAACTAACAAAGATCTCGCGCAAAGAATGATGCGCAACCTCTCCTCTGCTATTCTCACCGGAAAAATTATTCGCAGAGAGATGTCTATCACGAAGCTATTAACGAGACGAATGTTGGATGATGAAAGTTAAACTTGTGGGAATAGGCTACAGATTGACCGACTTGAAGAAACCCGTATGAAGAGAGTCAGTCTGTGTTAAGTTTTAGAGGTGGAAGGAAGAGCCTAGAACGACATTCCAGGGAATGATCCATGCATGGACGCGGGGACTCACCATGAATTCACGAAACCTTGATGGATCACAAAGATATTAGAACCTAAGCAGGAACATGACTTCAAGATCAAAATCAAGTTTCAAATAATGAATGATAAAAAAATGAGACGACAAATTCTTTCTCCTATAGACTAATCCAATTAGACGCCCCAACTGCACGGTGGCACTGCACTCACACGCACATTCTTCAGCTTGACGCGCGCGTGCATTTGGCAAATCACGACAACCTATTGGTCGAAAAGGCATGTAACGCGCACGTACCACCTGTCCACGAGCGTTGTGCCACTGCAGTGACGGCTTCTAATTCTGGTGATCGAATTACACTATAGGAAGATTATCATGGCGGCCTTCACTGGTTCCGGAGTAAAATTAAAATAAATATAAATTGAAATATATGAATTAGTTAAGTTGTACCACTGCGCCCTTGATCTTTTTTGTGGAAACGGCGCATAAATTTTCAGTAATTCTTATTGTTATAAATTAAATGTTAACACGAACTGCTTGTCCTTATGTGAAATACTGTCTTCAACAATCTGCATACGGGCAGCAGGGCACGGACGTCATATTAAAAAAAAAACGACTCGTAATGCTCTAGTATAAGCCATCGGCTGGTGATCTTTGTCCTGCGTTTCGTAGTAACTATGAGTACAGCCCATATTGTTGCCACGCACGTACAATTAATTTTGGTTGACATTGGCAGGACAGCCTTTGTATTCGGCACTGCGTTCCGGACATCCACTGTGGCTCTCACATGTACTGCTAGTTGACAAACAATTAAACAGGCGGGACAAAAATCACAATTTACAGGCATCAGATTCTTTGCTAGCCTTTTTTTAACTGGAAAATTGTAAATGAACAGGCAAACCGTTAAAGTACGCGGCCATCTCGTTTGGAGGGCGTTTATAATCAGATGTATTTATCCGTTATCCATTGCTGTACATTTCCGGCCATCGCAAGCTGTTATGAATATTAATACTCATGAATATTGATAGCTATCGTTCAGCCAAGGAGCAGACATTGCAGATGACAATGGGATGCTTGTTGGAGCGTGGAAGGATTGCACAATAGCAACTCTTTGAGGTGTGCCTTCTTGTAGTTCTCCATGATGTTGACCTGCTAGCGCGTGTAAACGTATTCGAGCTTTGCAAGGTTAAAGCATCCACGTTTCCATTCTCCATGCATCAACAGTGGTGGATATTGAGGTACGTAATACAATGTACCGATAGAGTGTCCCTATTAGATCAGAATGTCGGTTATTAATATTTCTTCAGAGATCAAGATGGTTGTTCCCAGTTACAGGGCTAGACGTCATGAAATTAGCTGATGGTGTGGAATTCTTAGGAAAAAGTGTCCATATAGGTTTCACCCCTTGTATCGATGTTTGTTGATAACACTGTCCTGAGTGTTGTCCAAGAGCTTGTGAAAAAAATGGCATGTACATGCTTACTCGGGTATGTAGAATCGGAGTGGTGTAAGGACAAAACCGATAATTAAGAATTTACATCTCTATGCAAAGTACATATTTGAGAAACTTGTCTAGCCTGCATTGCCTTCGGTTAGCACATGTATGTGTGAGAGGGATTTTGTAGGGAATACATGTATCATGTGAAATGTAGCTGCATGTCATGACCCACCACGATATAACTTGGTTCATTTGACAGTTGTTGCGGTGCCCTTGCATCTCATTCGCTATGGCATTTCTCCATCGCAAAGCCACTCGAGCCTTATCCATCTTACTCGTTTGTACTGCATTAATCGGTTGGTACGTACAACTGCACCACAAGGGAAAAGGTAAGACTTGAGGGAGACGAGGAAATCCCTTTTACTTCAATCAGCGTAAGGACAGCTGTTTAAGAAAATTGTACTCATAAGCCTTATCGCAAATACTGCATGGGTGATTTTGCACAATGGTAGAAGGGCATTGTGGGAAGGAAAAAGGAGCAATGTTTGCGATAAGGCTTATAAAAATGAATTGGTTGTTGCATTGTTTTCTTGGACGGTGTCGTGGCACGATCAGTTTTGGAGATCCAAGTTTTTGTGACGTACACGTGACCTCATGATATAGACTCGTGGTCAATGTTGGATGAGAGTTCCAGAACTGAAGACAGTGATATTATGAAATAAACGAAATAGAGTGGGACGTGCATCTGACAATATTAGCCAACACCCATTACTTCTACATCAATGACAATCAAGAGCATTGTACTCGGTATATTGTCTCTATATACAAGATTGTCTCCATAGCCGACGTTGCCACGGTCAGGCTGCTTGATTCCACGTTCAATCTTTTGAGACAGTTTGACTCATGCCAGGCTGGTCTATAGGCATCGAATACTGAAATCAGTTTACCTCGCTCTCGGATTCCAACAGGTTTCACTTGTGACTGACGACATTTAATTTGCCTCGTGGTTACTTTGAAGGGTTTTTTCTCCAGAGTTAGCCCAGTTATGTTTTCATTGCTTTTAATTTCTTCACACAAGGACTTCGGGGCAGTCCTAGATGTAAGCTTATTCTCGTGTTGTAAGGCCTATTCATTGTGACGCTCCATGCTGAAAAGCTTTTCTTGGGGAATGTGTTTATATTATGCTGCTCTTCAGTTTTGGCAAAAAAATTGACCATTTCCATGTTTCGAGCCATGCTTTTTTTTTCCACTCTCATTCAGAGAATCAACATGCGAAGCACTCCAAAGACGAAACTCCTGTAATCAGTGAGGACACCCGTCCCTCGGACGTCACAAAATCCAGCAGAAGCAACAGTGCAGAATCTGCCAAAACCGACAAGGAGCCCGTCAAAAAAATCGATACCGAAACTAAGATCGGCCAAACAGCCAAAAGGAGTGCAACTGAAAAACACTTGATAGACTTGGACAACATGGACCCTGAGGAACTGTTCAACCGAACGGCGATCGTGACGGCGATATCACAGAATCACCTGCGAGAATCCAAGGGCATGATTGGCAGCGTACAAGAAATATTGCCTCACAGGAAGATCATTTTGTACGACTTAGGATTGACACCACGAGGTGTTGAGGAGGTGTGTGACCCAAAATCGTGGTCTAGTTTTCTAAAAGGGTAGTGATCAAAAAGTGGACGGGGGTCCAGTGCTAGCGTCAAAACCGTCAGTTTTGTTCATAACATACCTCAAAGCAAGTCTAAAAGTCAATTCGGCGTTTTTGGTTTGGTTTATTAAATGTTCATTGGTTCTCTATAACCATTTTTCCTTGTGCTTCGTTCCCTAGGTGAAGCGACTGTGCAACGTAGAGCTTCGAAAGTTCAACTTTTCAAAATACCCTCCTCATGTGTCTAATCTTTTCAAATATGCCTGGAAACCCCTCATAATCAGGGTAAGTCAGCTCGAAGAAAAGTCCCCATCAGCAGGTAAAATATACATGGGAAGCTACCCCTGAAAGGTATTCTAAAAAGTACAAAACTTTAGTTCTATAAAAGCTTCCCGATTATGGCAAGCGTTCAAAACGTGGAAAACAGTGATGGACATTTTGTCGTCAACTGATTAAGTAAACCGTTTGCCCATTTTTTCAGGACATGCTGGAAGAGTTTGGCGTTGTGTTTTGGGGCGATGCCGCTGCGCGTCTTCAAAAACACCCTGGGGTTCTCTTTCCAGTACTCAAGGAGCAGAAGGGGTTCATGGCGATCGTGGAACAATACGGAAGCTCCAAGATGCTGGCCCGCACCCACCCCAAGATGTTTGGAGAACTTCAGATCGACATGAACAAATTCGTCAAAGACGACGGCTACGCCTTGTGCATGGAAGGGAACCGACTGCTGTTCGCCAACACGGCCCTCATACAGACCAAGATCATAGAGCCGTGGGTAGAGTGCGCACTTAGGGAACACTGTATTGCCCCAGAGGGCGGTGTCCGTGGGATCAACGTGAAAGGGCCAGTAAAACACACGCATCGGTTCGATCAGGCTGCACTGGCCCTCGTTACATACAGGAACTTGAGAGGTCTGTTGCACAGGGGAAATGACCAATCAAAACTTTTCTCTCAAGTGGCTGGACTGTCGCGATCAACAAAAGGGGCTGAAAAAGCCAAGTACTGTAAAGCCTGACATTTTCAAAAGGATAATCACTCTAGATTCAACTGAAGCCATTCTCTATTTTCGGGTCACGTCTTTTGCGTTTGAAGGGCTCCTTCAAACCCCTTGCACATGCACAATAACACGCCAGTTGATGTTTGTAAAGCTGCTATACTTGGTCTTTCAAATGTGATCAACATTTGCTAAAATGTTTACAAAATCATTGCTCATGATAGAGCTTGGCCATATAGTTCTGAACAGAATGAGGCTTAATTAAGGCCTAAATGTTTACTATTCCTAAAAAGAATGAGGAGTCAACGAACTATTTCTTTTTTGTATATACATGCACACATAGATGGAAAGAACCTTTTTAGTTTTAAAATTTGATATAATTATCCGTTCTTACTACATAAAGGGCGAAAGAAAATATCAATGTACCTTTGTAAACATGAAAAATCGAATTTAAGTTTGGAGCTTGCTTTGAAATAATCGTCTGTATACACCAAGGAAAAAAAAACGTTACGAGAAGGACGATGTTTCTGCAGTATAACCCAAGTGTACATAATTCATACAATGATTATGAGTGGTTGGGCTTTCTATATATTTTGAATTAAAATACGTGTTTTTACAGCATTTGTTGACTTCCTCCATTTTATCTTAATCCTCAATTTTTCGAAAGATAACTTATGAAGGCGTTCGTAAAGAAAACTTACCACCCCAAAACTGTTTTTTGGTCAAGGAGGAGTAACTTACAGTAACACGTGCTTACCACCTGCGCGCGACCAGGATCCCCCCCACATTAATGGCAGCTGCTTCTGGTCGTTGCGGTATATGAGGATGCACCCTTGCAAAAATGCCTAATATGTCCGCTGAGCTCATTAATAAAAGTTATACACTCAAAAAAATTATATATTAAAGAGTCCTGAGAGCAATGAAATTGAGGAATTGGAGAAATATGGCACTGAACCTCTGAGCCGGACTTTGGGCTTCCAATTCTGAGCAATTTGGGTGCAGTCGGGTCCGAAAGTGGCACTATTTGGTCGTTTTGCAGAGGGATGGTTTTTCAAAAATGGCTACTTTGCTGGGCGGGGACATTTTCTTCATTTTAGGGGTTGTCTGCTGCTGGTGAAAAATTCTCAAAAATTCATTGGTCAACCCCCAAAACTTGAAAGGAAAATGAAAGAGGGCATGTCGATCATCGTTTTTCTGTGCAGCCTGGACACCTGTGAGAATTGTATTTTTTAAAATAATTGTGAAGTGTGGGGACTTACCTTTGCTGTCTATGGGAATTTATTTGTAGTGGTGCACCCATGAGTGAAGTTATATGTAAATGTTGTGCACGGCAACCATTTTTTTTCGATAAGGGATGTACACGAGCAGACCTTTCGTACGATGCCTTCGTAACAAAAGCAGTTACAATTCCTTTGCTTAGAAATCTTCAAAGTCGAATTTTTTTCGGACTTGTTTTTGTAGGAAAATGGGTTTTTAGTGCCTGTTGACATGACATTGTAATTATAAGTCTGTATTTAAATAGCGCCTGCTTGTTATCGTTACGCCTGCACATTGGGTTCACAACATTTAAACTTTCCTGAAACCTCCAGGAGAAAGGTACCTAGGGGTAAAGTGACTTGCCCAAGATCACAACATGTTGCCACCCGACCCTATCGGAAGCTACAAACCGTAACCACTTAACCACTAGGTCACATGTACATGTAATTACTCACAACATTTTATGCAGAGACTGAGTATCTTTGGTTTGAGGAACTTTATCAGTTCGCAAAACAAGCAATCAGTTGTGATTGTCATTCGGCATAATTTATGTGTACTGTAATACTCTTTTCATTTTCACCTACAGCCCGGTTTTTACATGATTATGCAAATAATTCAGATCTAAGATTGTTTTCGTACCAATCAAAAATCATCTGTCCATTGGTCAAGTAGATCTGAAACTCTAATTTTTTTTACCTCTTAAACTTGTGAAGTTCCTTTTTGGCGCCTAAGGTTCTACGTAATAATACTATAAGAATTACCAGATACAGACGTCAAGTTCCTTTGGTTTAAAACCAACCCTTTATGTGAAACATGCTTTATGATTCTTCCATACTTTTCTGAACCTCATCAAAGGCCAGCGCTAGTTTCTGCTTGTCCGTCTTCCGATAGAAGATAGTCTCAAGTTCCTGTATTTTCTCGTTGATGATCGAGATCTCTTTAGATAGTTCCGTTCTCTCGAAGGCCAGCTGGTTAGAGCGGCTAGTGGCTGATCTCATCTCATTGTAATCCTGTTCAAGATCCTGCTTTTCCTTCTCCCGCGTGGCCAGGTCGTGGTCGTTGAGCTTGAGGCTTTTGTTCAAAGATTTGAGCTTCTTTCCCAGTATTTCGATGTCTTTCTTCAGTCCCAGAATGTTGTCAATGTCCTTGGAAATATCCGTGGTGTTCTTGTTGAGGAACATGACTCTTTTCCTCTCCACGACGTCCTGCTCCGTCTGAGTTTTCTCCGCCAGCATGTTTCGCTTCAGTACTTGGAGCTTCTGAATCTCGGCGTCCAGCTGCTTGATTCTCTCCCTGATCTCTCTGGCCCGAACGCGGACCCTTTTCTCCACGATGTTGCTCAAGATATTCCCGTGCTCAAGCTCAAGCGTGTTATACTCCTCCTGCTTCAAACGCTGCAGGCGCTTGGTCTTAATCAGTTTGAACTGGATGTCCTCCATGTAGATTTGATCGTTGGCCCGCCACTTACCGAGAAGATGCAAGACAAAGTGGAACTTCTGGAAGAGATCAGGGAAGAGTCGCAGCACTGGGTATCTCTTGGTATCACAGGTCTCCGCAACCTCCAGGGAGAATTTGTCCGAGCTGAAGAGCTTCAAGTTGATTCCGGTCTGTGACTCGTTCAGCAGTACGGCGATCCCTTGCAGGTTGTTTTTAAGGTCCAGGTTTGTGGATCGGGCCCACTTTAAATCGAATTCCCCTTCCAAAGATTGGTAGTTCCGACAGAAGCACTGCACTATCGTGTATAGGTCCCGTACTTCATCCAGGAGGTCGGAGAGGGACTTGACCGCTCGCTGGAAGGCGTGCATGAAGGTGTTGAGGTCCTTGCTGAAGCCTGCATCGCGCACCCCACCGGGCCGGCGCACTTCATTACTCGTCCTGGCAAACAGGTCCAAATCGGCCCACGAGGCCACCCGGGGAACAAGGTTCTTGATTCGTTTCACTCGATGCTTGCTCTTGAAAATCTCTTCCACATGGATTATGAACTGGATTGGCTCTATTCCTCCGTAGAACGACTTTTCAATCTTATTGGTCAGTTTTACCTTCAGGGTTTTTAGTTCTCTATCAATGTAGTCGTAGACGTCTTGTATGGAGAGGGGTGGATCATCTCCTTGCCACATGTGGGAGGGCATGGTTAGTGATGATCTCCAAACACACAAGTCCAAAACTTCAAACTTCAAAAGGTGTTATGGAATTGTCCTTATAGTTGTTGTCGGGCCCCCATCTGTTCCTGTAGTAAGGTGTGGTGGGCATCAAGAATGCATCGAGGGTTGCCGCTTTTCTTCCTTCGTGCACGAGCTTGGCTAGCATGACCAATCATCCCCTTTCACGTGTCAGCAGAAATTGTGCACAGAAAAGAGGTTAGTACTTTTACATTCTGTAAACTTGAGTTCCTCTGAAGAATCATGTAAAAACACGCGGTGAGAGGATAGACACACTAAAGCCCACCATACTAATTTTGTTGTGGTTACAAAGGGGAACCACGAGGGGGTCAGTCGAACCAAACAAAACTAGGTTTATATCGAACCAACTAAGGGCGCCAGTTATATGCAAATCATGGATGAATCGATCTTCCCAGAGGGGTGGTAGCACCACAGTATTGTCTGGAAGGAAACGTACTGAGAATCACTTGTGGTTTTAATGATAAGTGAATGGTATCTGTCCAACGTTGGTTTCTTTAATATGGTTAAGGTGCTTGAATTTTTTAATTTTTTACGAATTTTCTTTCTAAGACCTTAACCACTGCATGGACATGACCTGGCTCTCGCTCCCACTCTCAGTAAAATGAACGTGGCTTTCAACTAAGTTTTCAAAAATAGCCACCTCTAATTGCACCTTGTCATGCTTAGCTTTGGACAACGTACACGTAGACTGCCTTCTCACTATTTGGCCATTTTAAGGGTTTCGATCAGGCTTTGGTGATCAAACAAAAACTAGTAATTGCGATCACGAAAATGTACCGAGGAGGGGAAATATCGATTAGAGAGGTTTGCTTCTCATTTGGGGAACTCTGGACATGATTTAGGCGGATGGGGCCGCGCCTTTGTCGCCAGTAAAACATTGATTGATCATGTCCAGGTGATCGATGAATTACGAGGCCGGCCTAAGTGAATTATTAATGACAGACACAAACTGTCCCTAACGTGCAGTGACTGAAAGGTGTTAGGACTGTACAGCACGTGTTATCTTGGGTGAAATGAGTAGAAAGAATATTCTGTCGCATGATGGCGCTAGAGGTAGGCGTTTGGTGTCAAACGTCAACGTAACAAGGAAAGTCAAGTACGAGCTACGTGTATCACAAGCTTAACTTACCCCCATCGAGGCGCTAGGAAGGAAATTACATTGTATTATATTAGAATGCATGTACGACGTAGTTTATGTTTAGCATTCGAATATGAATAGAGTTCATTTGAATTAGGCCTATAACATGGGTCGACACTTCAGTGCGGCAGTGCAGCAGTGAAGGATTTTTCTCAAGGGAAGTAAAGTCCGACTTTTCCTGGTATCAACAAGGAAAGCTTTCACGCGAGTTCCACAGACTTTTCTGCTCCCGAGAATCGCAATAAAACCATTTTCCCACAGGAAAGTGATGCATCCCCAGATAGTTGTATGGTAATATAAGCAAGTTGTCAGGGAAATGGGGGAGCCAGAATTGTTGACTGCTCTTTTTACCAACGTGCGTGCACTCGTGAAACAGTCTTTTTTCTCCTATTTTTTTCTAGAAAGCCGTAAAGCCTCCATCGCCAATGTGCATTTTATATTGGACGTTACTGCGCACGCATTTCAAGTTTTGCAGCGGGCACTTGAGTCATCATTCTCTATGTGGCGGTGGGCGTTGAATGGGTTCGCTCACACTTAAAACACTGACCGTGGTGGACTTTCACAAGGATTTTCCTTCCCTAAATTCTGAGTGGGGGGCACACGAGAGAGACAGGTCTCGAGCAGGA